GCTCCCCGCGCCCGCGGCCCAGGCATGTCCAGCCGATCCCCGCAGTCTCGATCTCCACAGGCTCTGCAAGTAGACGCCAGAGCGATCGATCTTTCCAGCTCAGGGAAAAGCTCTCTCCTAGGCTAAGGGCTGAAATCCGGCCTCGTCCTTCCTTTGACACCTGTGGGGACGGGGCGGGGGTGGAGGATGTCTGCTCAGGGCGCCCCGTCCAGGCCGTATATTATACATTATGTATTATTTATTCTAGAAATCATTATATAGAATATAGTGTTATATATAAAATATGTATTAAAAAGCATGCATGTTACATAATATGTATTATACCGATATGTTTTTATACTACAATATTACATATTACCATATGTAATGTACATTATATATTACTTATATTCAATACAATTATATATCAGTAACAAAAAGGATAGGAGAATCAATGTTCAAGAAGTCAATGCTCAAGGATCTTGGGTTTTATATCAAGTATAGCATTTAAGGACTCATTAAATTTGTAATTTCTTATACAACTAAGTCTTAAGGCACAGGAGCAAATATGCTCATAAAGAATGAAAATCAAGATCAGTGAATTGACTGATTTGGTTAAGGAGGCAGGAAAAAGGAGCAAATACACATGTACTCATTACTTGACTTACCTCTCTGTACCTCACCTTTATAATAATTTAAAACAATAAAAACTTTAAAGAAAACAATAGTAAAAACAAGTATAATCAGGTTAATGCATTAAATGTGTACTGACTATTCCAATTATGGAATTATTTTTCTTCATGAAATTTTAATACTAGCAAAATTAATAAACGGTCCATGGGGACTTGTGTATGTGGCAAAACACATACAAATGTTAAGGAAAGATCAGCACCCACTTGGAGAGGTTAAAAGTGAGCCCTCTCTAGAGATCAGCCTTCCAAATGCTGGGATTACAGGCATATACCATCATGCTAGTACCTTTAAAAATGTTCCTTCCATCTTTTGTACGTGTGTATTTGGGTGTGTACTAGTATGCAGATCCTAAGACTTGAATTCATGCTTTGCATTCTTGCTCAGCTTTCTTGCTTATGGCTACCCCTGGAGCCACTGCCTCTTCAGTTTTGCATGTTGCTGGATAATTGGAAATGGACTCTTGCACTTTCCTGTCCAAACTAGCTTTGAACCATGATCCTCTAGATCTCAGCCCTCTGAGGAGTTAGGATTTGGGGTGAGCCATGGTGCCCAGCTTCCACCTTTTCTTTTCACCTGGCAATGGGGATTAAACCGAGTCTCATGTATGCTAGGATAGGTAGGAACTATCTGCTCAATTTATCCCTCCTACTAACAGGGATAAATTGCAAAAATGCTAGGGGGAGAGCAAGAATCTTGAGTATAGAGCAAACAGACTGAGGTATCTCCCACAGATATAAAGACATCCCCAAACCCAGATGTGAACAAATTGTCCTTCATATACATAATGAATCATCACTGATCTATATGAACTCTTATGAAATAATAAGGGAAAGAGAATTACATGGAGACTGGAAAACCACAATTTTAAAAGAATTGCCAAAATAGCAACTCCCAGGGAAATGAAAACTTCACAGGTTTCGGGAAACCAGGGAATTCTTTCGAAAAAATGATTTTTGCTGAGTAGACTAGTGAAGAAAGAGAATTCTACTTGGTCTAGAAGTTGGGACGTTGCATTTCTGTATTGATGGGGAGCTAAATGTAAATAAATGTTGGCCCCCAAATGTTCTGGGCCCCCAATTTACTGACCAGTGTAATAGAGGGGGCGGTTTAGCCAAGGGTAGAACCCTTGCAGATATAATTAGTCTTTTGTTTTATTGTGCCCGTCCTGGGGCTTGAACTCAGGGCCTGGCCAGTATCCCTAAGCTTCTTTATGCCAGGCTAGTGTTCTACCACTTGAGCCACAGCTCCACTTCCTGCTCTTTAGCATGTTAAATAGAGATTAAAAGGTCTCAGGCTTTGAATGGTGATCCTCAAATCTCAGCCTCCCAAGGAGCAGGACTTGCCAAAAGATGCAACAGCAGGGTGCCATCTTGAAGCAGAGCCTCAGCCCTACACCAGACACCAAATGTAATAATGGCTTGTCTTAGACTCCCTGGAACCCGATACTGGAAGAAGCAAATTATTGTCCATAAATTGTCCCAATTTGGTGGTTTTGTTATAGTAGCCCAAGCAAACCAAGAGAATGGATGTTTCTTCCAGCCCCACATAACCTGGTTCCATCCTGCCACAACCAGCTTCTGCATTGATAAAGAAACCAACACGATCTTCTTTCCCCACTGATTAGTTTCTGCAGATGAAAAGCCAGAAGGGAAATCCAGGAGTGGTGACTCACACTGATGTAACTCCAGCTTCTGGATTGGGGGAGATCAGGAGTATCCAGGTTGGAGGACAGCTTGGGCAAAAAAGCTCATGCGACTCCTGTGTTAATAATAGGTGGGCATGGAGGTGGCCACCGTAAGCACAACTACAAAGGAGGCTTCGGAAAGTAGTTCAAAGCCAGGTTGTGAAAAACATGACTCTATCCACACAAGTAACTAAAGCAGAGAGGAGCTGGTAAGTGAAGAGGTCCTGAGTTCAAATCTCAACTCTACCAAATAAAAAAAGTACAAGGGTTCCGCTGAGTTTTGCTCTCATTCTCTACCCAGCTGGACTTACGGGCTGCATTGCATATATGCAACTAAGCATCTCACTCTGGACAGTTTTTTTCTTCTGTTGGTTGTGGGACTTGAACTCAGAACCTGAGCACTGTCCCTGAGCTCTTTTTGTGCAAGGGTGGTGCTCCACCATTTGAGCCACAGTGCTGCTTGCAGTTTTCTGGTGGTTCATTGCAGGTAAGAGCCACTTGGTGTGCCGAGAGGCTGGCTCTGCCCACTGTGTCCTCCGCCTGCTGGCCAGCCCACATCGCTAGCGTGCCCACAGCGGCCTGGCCTCTGGGCAGGCTGGGACCATGGGGATGTGTGTGAACAGTTCTGCCAGCGCCAGGTCTTCAGCATGCCAGACACCCAGGCAATCTCTCCAAATGCACTGCAGACTCTATCACTGCACACTGTGGAAACCTCAAAGAGTGACCATCACGCAAAGAAAGGTCTCAGACGACAGATCATAAGCTTACACATTTATATATACAATATATTTCCAATATATTACAGCTTTAACTTGTGAACAGAAATATCCTGCATTTTCTTCTTTTTCTTTTCTGGTTTCTTTGCATCATTGATCTGCATTTTTACTTGATCTTGTAGTCTAGAGAAGAATGCTTGGGAAGACTTTAAGGCCTTGTCTTTCCGTTCATCCTGCCATAAAAAACAAAAATACACGAGCTGCAAATATGCTTATGAGTGGGGAAACCTCAAGTATAATATTACAGCACAGTATAGAAGAATAAATGACTAACTACTAGGGTTATAAAGAACTCAAGCAGTTTGCATAAAAGATTCTCTGAGCCAGGTGCCTGTGGCTTCCATCTGTAATCCTAGCTACTCAGGAGGTTGAAATCTGAGGATCAAGGTTCAAAGCCAGTCTAGGGAAGAAAGTCCATGAGTCTTTTACCTCCAATTAATCAAAAAAGCCAGAAGTGACACTGTGGCTCAAGTGGTAAGAGTGCCAGCCTTGAACAAAAAAAGAGTAGGGACAGCACCCAAGCCCTGAGTTCAAGCCCCAAGACTGGCACCAGAAAAAAGAGAGAAAGAGAAAAAAAAAAAGGTTTTCTGTACTTTCTGCTACAACATTCTTGTAACTTGTGGGGGAAAGAAGTACAAGGAAACTGCTGTCAGCCCTCTGGGCTCACCCCAGAAGCACACAGCAAGTCACCACTGGGGCCCGCAGTGGGCGACCCCAGGCTGTGGCCTGAGAGGAGTCAGTGGACACCGCACACCCCCAGCCCCCGCAGCCCTCCTCCCTCCCCACCCTTACCTTTAACAAGGCCACTTTGCCGGTCTTGGTCAGATGCTTTAGCTTCTCGGAAGCCGCTGCTCTGCTGAATTTGCCTGCCTGATCTGGGTTGTTCTTCTCCAACAACCTTCGCCGCTTCTCCTTCTCTTTTATTTTCCAACGCTTCTGGAGTTTCTTTCTCCTCCGTTCCCGTTTCTTGTCTGTAGCTGTTTTCTCAGCAGCAGTTTTTAGATCTCCACCTTTATTTTTCTCCTATTAGAAAACAACCCCCAACACACCAATTAAATCTAACTTCACATCTTCGCCTGGAGGCGAAGAGGGTGGGCAGTGCCAGGCCTGCACTAGAGCTTTCTGCTTTCTAACTCCAAACTTGAATGTGTTCTTGGGCAGGGCAGATTCAGCAACAGCACAGAGCTGAAGGAAATGGAGAGCCAGCGGGGACAGCTGGGGCAGCGTGCACGCGTGAGGTGCACAGCCTCGCTCTGGGCTGCTAATGGGGTCCTAGAGACCATGAGAGAAGCACAGAGAAGGGGGAAGCTTGCTGGCACCCGTGGCTCACGCCTGTCATCCTAGCTACTCAGGAGGCTGAGATCTGAGGACTGCAGTCCAAAGACAGCTTGCAGATAAGTCTTTGAGTCTCTTACCTCCATTTGATGTAGCAAAAAGCTGTGGCTCAAGTGGTAGAGCACTAGGTTTGCACAAAGATCAGGGATAGTGCCCACACACACACACACACGGAGAAGTAGTCTGAAGTAAGGGCAGATACCACTTCTGGTTTTCTGCTGGTACACACACACACACACACACACACACACACACACACACACACACACACACACACACACACACACACACACACACACACGGAGAAGTAGTCTGAAGTAAGGGCAGATACCACTTCTGGTTTTCTGCTGGTTCACTGGAGATAAAGTCTCACAGACTTTCCTGCCCCGACTTGGCTTTGAACCTCAGAACCTCAGATCTCATCCTCCTGAGGAGCTGGGATTACAGGCATGAGCCACCAGCACCTGGCCTAAGGATCTGGCTTCTTTTTTTGCTCAGGACTGACCTGAACAACAATCCTATTCACACTTCCCACATAGCTGGGATGAGATATGCACTACTGCACTCAAGTTACAATCCCCCCTAATCTCAGTGGGCTGAGCAACTGAGATCCAGGGGCAGGTCACAGTGCCTGGCTTCGCCTATAATTTACATCATTCTCAAGTTTACTTATAATATAGTTAATGAAATATAAATCCTATGTCCTAGTTGCTATACTATATTTAGGAATGACAGCAAGAAAAAAATTACCTGTGTATATATTCAGGACAGATGTGATTTTTTTTTGTTTTTGGTCTATTTTTGATCCACAGCTAGCTGAATCTACAGATGTCACACTCACAGGTATGGAAGGCCAACTGTACCTAAAACCCACTTGAACGAACTAGAATAAAAGCTGCGCACTCAAGGGAGATGACAGGACTAGAGATCTGGCTGTAACAAACCGACTTCTAAGCAGGGTGAGTTTTCAACACTGGCTAAGTTCTTACCTTGATTTCCTCTGGGGCCAGCAAAGCCGCGTCACTGACGCTCACCGGGGCCACTTCCTCCATGGTTATGGCCGGCAGATTCGACACAACCTTGATCTCAGGGACAGGCTGGAAGACACAGTGCTCATTAGAGGCAGTCAGAGAGCCCTTAGCATAGTGGTTTCTGTGAATCTCATCTGGCCTTCATGGGGGAATTGGAGAGGGAATGAGTAAAATGACAGACCACTTGATAAAACAGCATTTCTCATCTTCCAGCTCCCAGAATATCTTTATACAAAATGGCACTGGACTAACATGAAAAACTGGGAGAATTTCAACATAAATGGGAACAAAGGAAGGAGGGAAGCACACAACACCAAAAAGGGCTGAGCTATTTGGTGTTCTGCTAGGTTGGTTTCTTCTGTTTGTGAGGAAATTGCCCAGGACACGCAGAAATTACAAACGTGTCTCATGCTGGCCAGGACAATGGCTTATGTTCCTCATGCTGCATTCCTGCATGTCCCCCTGAGGATGACGGTTGAGCCCATGTGAGGAAGTGGCTGAGAAGCGGAGGGGAAGGCTGAGATCCACGCGCCCACAGAGCCTGTCACCCAGCCTCTGCCCACTCATTTCCTACCACAGTGATGTCACCAGGGAGGTATTCGCCTCAGGAAACTTCATAGAGAATAAGAGGGACCCAGAAACACGACAGGATCCCGGATCCCAAGGAAGAGAAAAATGCCAGTGGGAAGAAAAGAATTTCCCCCACAGGACCCGGCTCAATTATTGACTAGGAACACCGTGTTCCATTCTATAGTTTAAAAAGGAAGAGAGAGGGAGTGGAGACGGTCCAAAACACAATGGGAAAGGGTGGCTGGTGGCTGGTACATGCAGTGTGTGGAGACAGCAGGTAAACTGCAGACCTGAGTATGAAAAAGTCAACAGTGGGGACAACCCACTGGGACAATCATTTTTCTTTCTGAAGAACAGATCGGAACCACTTTTGAAGTGGGGCAAGTAGACACAAGTGCATTTGTTCCTTTAACCCACAAGATTCTGAAACTCTGACTGAGGGCTTGCTGCTCAGGCTCTGCGCTGGGGCAGGCACAGTTTGTACTCACTTGGGGAAGAAGAGTAGAGATGATGAACCACCAGCCAACAACGGCAATCGGGCAGGGACAAATGCAGGGAGGAGGGAGGGGGCACACTGCTCCAGACAAAGGGCAGGGAAAGTCGGCAAGGAGCAGAGAGGCAGGTGTGCAGCTGAGGGGAGAGGGGAGGGGCCAAGGTGCAGAGAACAGAGCAGAGGTAGAGCTCCCTGAGAATGTGCCAGGAGGGGAGGGCCTGAGCCTGCTCAAAATCCAGAAGACCAGGGCATCTGGGTGGCTCACCAGGGCGGACAGAGGGGAACATGGAAGCCAGAGGAAGCAGCTGTCAGGCTGCCAGGCTGGAGGACTCAGGTCATCTCAGAAAAACTCCCTCAGTAAGAAGTGCTGGCCAAGAAGGCTCCAGCAATCCCACTCATCCCTGGACAGTTAATTCCAGGCACCTGGGGCTCTAAAAATGGTTCCCACCACTGCAAGTTTTTGCAACAGTTTAACAGCTTGAAAAGCAACAGTTTAACAGCTTGTTTTCTGTGCAACAAGACAAAATATTGGTCCAGAAACAAGCACCTAGCCATCAACAAATCAGAACGGATCTTGGAAGGGACCTCTCTGGACAGCGGAAATGATTTGCCTATCACAAAGCCAGTGAGCAGCAGAAACCGTTTCAAGTTTTCGATTCCTAGACTACTACTCAGTTCCTTTCAGACTCCACAAAGGAGAGCCAAAAGCAACAGGCAAGCAAGTACCACCAGGGTGGGAGAAGGGGCTGAGGATTCTAGATCAGGCAGGTGCTGAACCCAGCCTGGGTCAGTCAGTGACAGGGAGAAGGGCTGGGCCAGACAAAGGAGCATCATGCTGTGGACAGCAAGGCCCTGTGTGTGGGACTTGACAAGGCTCAGAGTGGGCTCTGTGCCGACAGGAGGGATCATCGCACAAAAACTCAGTGAGGGTCATTTCTGCTGTGTCTGCATCCTGAAGGGTTCACACACGTACCGGTTTAGGGATGAAGTGGAAGTTTGACAGAGCATCCAGTTTTAAGAAGAGGGAATCCATCATCTTCTGAATTTCTACGTGCTCAGGATTTTCTTCTTCCTCTGTTTTTTGCTTAGGGAAAAAAGTCAATCTCATCAGATGAAGATAGTCATGCCCAGACTCTACCACTTAACAGAAAGAATGGAGAATGAACCTACATAATCCTGCCTGGAGGTCTTCTTACCTGGCTGAGTTTGATGTATTCTTGTTCATAAATTTCAGCGAGACTCAACTTGCTCTTCTCGTGGTCTAATGTTAAGCGCTTTTTATATTCGTATGCTTCCTCTTTAGGCTTTTCTTTCCTTACAACATCATCCCAAGCCTGAAATATAAAAGGTAGTTGGAATTTAAAATCAACAAAATCAGTCATTTGTTTCTAGGTTCATATGAGAATTATGGCAAACAAATGTATCACTGGTGCCCACTGGATACTACATGGAAAATGAACTGTACAATTTGTGGGTTGGAATGGGAGGGAAAAACTGGGAGAGAGCGAGGGAAGGGGGTGATGTTGTCTAAAAAGAAATGCACTCACTACCTAACTTATGTAACTGTAACCCCTCTGTACATCACCTTTATAATAACCATTAAGAAAAGGAGAAATATGTAGTTAAGTACACCCTTAAAAGAAAAACAAAAAAGAGTTATAGCAAAAACAAAGTACCTTTTTGTCAGGTGCTGGGAGCTCATGACTGTAATCCTAGGAGGCTGAGATCTGAGGATCACAGTTTGAAGTCAGCCTGGACAGAAAAGTCCATGAGACTTATCTACAAGTAACTACCCAAAAGCTGGAAGTAGAGCTGTGGCTCAAGTGACAGAGCACTAGCCTTGAGCTCAAAAGCTTAGGGTCAGTGGGTGCCCTGAATTCAAGCCTCAGGACTGGCACCAAAAAACCAAATGAACAAAAAACCAAGAAAGTACTTTTCAACTTGAGGAATGATTTCTCAAGTCACGAAAAATAAGCATTATGAAAAGGAGAGTGGCATTAAGTCCAACATTCTTTCCTTTTTTTAAAGGAGTCTTTCTTCTGGTTACTAACCTTAGTCCCACATTTCCTCCACACACTATTGAGTGTATCTCATTTGATTTCAGCTGTTCAGATTGGGTGCCCTCCCCCTCCTTTACTTCAGACACCAAGCAGCAGCTGAGAAGGTTATAAAGCCATTTCTTCCGCGCATGTTGGCATAAATCTTAGGTTTATTCTAAGTTTACAAGATCAGATCTGTTCTTAGGCAGCAATTCTTTGCTAGGTTATGGACACTGGAGAAAACACACTGGCTATGGTGCCTAGATCAAGGGTCACAATGGGACCACTGCAAGTCAGACATGGCCACCGAGACAGAGAAGGGCGGGCACAGGCCACAGCTTCCGGCTAGCTCTCTCCTCACCCATCCGCCTGCCTCTACACAGTCTAGTCTTAAGGCTTTAAGTAGAAAGAAAGAAAGCATGATTCCCACTCTCCAAATGCTTTCATATCATTTTCTCTAAGTTAAGCTTGATGTCACTGTCACTAACCTGATCTCGTATCCTCTGCTTGATAAGGTCTTCCAGCTGCAGCGTGGTTTCCTCCGTGATCACAGGTGCTAAGGGAAACACAGCATGCCTTCACTGGAACGTGTACATCAGCACAGTGATTCTCAAACTGCAGTCGGTCCGTGGACCCACACAATCAGTAAGACCTCAGAACTTGTCGGCCAACCCCTTGCTCCTAAGTCACGGTGTGGAGGGCAACTGCTATCTGCATTTCTTTTTGTGTGTGTGCCAATCCTGGGCCTTGAACTCAGGGTCTGGGCGCTGTCCTGAGCTTCTTTTGTTCAGGCCAGCACTCTACCACTTCAGCCACAGCTCCATTTGCCTCATTTTTTGGTAGTTTATTGGAGTTAAGAGTCTCCTAGACTTTCCTGCCCTGGCTGGCTTTGAATCTCAATTCTCAGCCTCAGAGCCTCCTGAGTAGCTAGGATTATAGGCATGAGCCACTGGCGCCTAGATCGAGTTTTTCTGAATAGAGTTGGGAAGACACAAACAGCATTGGATTCTATCAAGAGAAACCCAAGAAAAAGCATGGCCGCCAAGCCTGCAGGCCAGCCGTGCCTACCCATGCGGACGGCGTGGTCGAAGTGCAGCGTCTCCTCCAGGAGGCTGTTCTCTGGGCGCTTCTGGGCTGTCACTTCCCCCTGGAGTTGCCAAGGCTTCTTTTCCATCAACTCTTTCTCTAAAGAGGCGATTTTTTCATTCATCTACGAAAAAGACAAAATCAGACATTTGTTTAGGGGATAAGTACAGACGTAAAGAACGAGTAATATTTTAAAGTGGTATTAAAGTAGTATTTGAGAAAATGGAAAAGCAAGAACTGTTCTGCTCTTGCCAAGATAGAAGGGTGCTAACGAGTTCCTCTTCCTGTTGCTTGAGTGAACTGCAGATCTTTTCCCCATGGATTTGAAAAGCCATGGCATACCCAAATTCTACTCATTTCCAACTTCTAAACAATGATTCAAAAGACCTTAACAACGCTTTTAAAAAGCACTGACACTCAACCAGGCATCAGTGGCTCAGGCTGTTCAGGAGGCTGAAATGTGAGGCTTGAGGCAGAAAAGTCCATGAGACTCCTATCTCCAAAAAAAAAAACCCAAATAAGCCTGAAGTGGAGCTGTGGCCCAAGTGGTAGAACATCAGCCTTGGATGAAGAAGCTAAGAGGACAGACATTCACATCCAGAGTTCAAGCCCCACTTGGGTCACCAAATGAAAGCTATTGGCTAGGAAATGTACACAAGTCATTAGATGCTCTCCTGGTGGTATCTACACACAATACAGAGCAATAATTTTTTTTTTTTCAGGGCTGGCAAGCAGTTCTAACAGGTAAACCCAGGTATAGATTAGGGAGTTCCAGGGTCGTGGTCCTAGTAGTTACCTTCTCCTGTCTTTTCTCAAAAGAGGATTTAACGTCATCAGCCTCTTCCTTGACACGTGGTACTTCTCCGCCTTCTGTATCGTCATCATCCGGCAAAGCAAAGGTGACTCTTTTCAAGCTCTCTTTCGGTGGCTTGTCATCTTCACTATCAAACTCACTATCTTCATCCCTAGGAAATCAAAATGCTCATCAAAGGAAAACACCACTCTCCCTGGAAATACATGAACCAAATATCTAGTCATGTTCTCTTCTATTCCCAACTGCCACCAGATAGTCAGAACTTCTGAAATCATTAAGGTACTAAAGAATATAGCAGGAATTGTTTAGGTGAGATGCTATGTAAAGACAGAATATATTCAAATGCATGATTCATCAATCTGTATCACAAAATTCTTTTTTTGGTGGTACTGGGGAATGAACTCCAGGCTTCACACGTGCTAATAAGCAGGCAATCTATGCCGGGTTATTTTCCAGGTGGGGTTTCGCTCTATGCTGTCCTGCCTGCACTGTGATCCTCCAGTGTCACTGGAGATAACAGGTACATGCAACTGCACTGAGCCAATGGATGAAATGGAGCCTCTTGAACTTTTCTGCTCTGGTCAGTCTTAAAACTGTGATCCTGTGAGCTGGGCCCAAGTGGCTCAAGCCTGTAATCCTAGCTACTCAGGAGGCTGAGATCTGAGGATTGTGGTTCAAAACCAGCCCAGGCAGGAAAGACTGTGAGATTCTCATCTCCAATAAGCCACCAGAAAACCAGAAGTGGAGCTGTGGCTCAAGTGACAGAGCTCTAGCCTTGAGCTCAAGAGCTGAGGGATAGCGCTCAGGCCTAGAGTTCAAGCCCCACAACCGACAAAACCAAAACTGTGATCCCCTGACCTCTGCCTCTCCAAATAGCTAGGATTACAGGGTGAATCCACTGAGGCTGGCCAAAACTCTTAGCTCACAAAAATATCATGGCTTTACTGGAACAAATCCAAATCCAAGGTCCTTCACTGTAACACAGGTTTGCTACTGCTAGTGCTATTTTTCGTTATGAGATAATCCTCAATGTTCCTTTAAATTCAAAGACTTTCTTCTGGCTATCTTAAGACAGTGTGATGGTAGAAAATCTACTACTTTACTTTAAGGGGGGGGTTGGTTGGTTGGTTTTCTGCTTAAACTCAGGGCCTAGAAACTATCCCTTAACTTTTTGGTCAAGGATGGTTTCCCTACCACCTGAACCACAGCTCCCCTTCTGTCTTTTTGGGGGAGTTGGAGATAAGAGTCTCATGGACTTTCCTGCTTAGGCTGGCCTTGAATCACCTTCCTCAGATATCAGTCTCTTGAGTAGCTAGGATTACAGTTTTGAGCCATTAGTATTTGGCTACTATTTAGTTGTAAAGTTTAGGACTCCAACTTGCTATCAGATGCTTTATGTTCATTGGCAGGTACCCTACCGCCTGAGCCGAGCCATGCCTCCAACCCCTGGAGTCTTAACTTTGGAGAATCCATTACTATTATGCATATACACACATGACTGGCAATTCCATCCAATGCAGAGGATGATTTGCATTACTCACATTTCAGAAATGCTTCCTTCTGCCTCTTCTGCCTCTTCGTCAGCAGTGTCTTCCTCTTCTTTGTTTGAACCCAACTCATCACTATCAGCACTTGCCATGTCTCCATCACTTCCGACTGGATCAAAGAAATCTTTGTATTTCAAATCACGGGAGCTTTTACCTGCCTAAAACAATAAAGAACATTTGAAGACATAAAAATATATAAATAAGTTGATGTTAGGCGAGATGAACCCCAAGATAAGGACTCAAATAGTTTTTCTCTCTTGCTATTGTTTCTAACATATTTATAAGATGATTTCTTTGTTGCTTTCTATGTCCCTCCCCCACGGTATAACCCCTGTTTTCACTGTATTTGATGTTGGTATAATTTGGGGAGGGGAAGGGAAAAAACAAATTGTGGCTCAAGCAGTAGAGCGCTTGCCTTGAGCTGAAGAACTCAGGGAAAGCGCCCAATCCCAGAGTTCAAGCCCCACAACCACCACCACCAACAAAACAAAACAAAAACAGCATATAAAAACAATGCTATGTTTTCTGACTTTAACAATTCCAACCAGAAATAGTCATGAATAATGCTAGCAACTAATAATAGTTCCCTAAAACTGTAAGAATAACTGGAATATAAACTGGAAACATAAAATAAAAATACACTATTTCAGAGCTGTAATTACTTCCAAAAATACCCCTGCCTAAATCAGTATTAAATCTCTCCTTTTCACTTGTGTTTTGGAGCCAATGTCTCACTGTGTCACCCAGGCTGGCCTCTTATTCATGATCCTCTTGCCCCAGCCTCCCCAGTGCTGAGATTACAGGTGTGTTTACTACCATAGCCAGCTTTCAGAATTTTTAGTGTCTGTTGAAAACACATGTTTGAGGGACACATGTGTGATCATGGTTCTTGAGCTACATAGTTTAATTTCTTCAGTTAACTTCTAGATCTAGAATTTCACTTGGGCTTTGGTAAATTTGGTGGCACTTTCGTAGGGAAGACACCTAATTTGAGGAAGGAAATCTACTTTCTCCAAACTTTACCTTACGTTTTTTACTTCCAAACAATTCTCCCTCGTCATCAGAATCAATGTCTTCAAAAAGGTCCACATCTTCCTCTTCCACCTCTTCATCTTTTTCCTCTTCTTTTTCCATTTTGTCTAAAAAGGTCTCCATTTCAGAGAGTTTGAAGAATTTGTCATCAACCACAGACTTCTCGCATGGTTTCCCAGGCAGTTTCTTTGGCACCTTGCTCTGCTGTTCCAATTTGCTCTGCTGTTCCAATTTGCTGATATCAAAGTCAAGGTCAGAATCTTCATCACTGAACACGGGGCTTTCCCTGAGTTTATGTTGTCTTGATTTTTTCACCTTGCCATCCAATTTAGGATTGTCATTATCTACCTCTGACAGCTCCTCCTCCTCCAAATCTTGTTCTACGTCCTCCTGGCCGTCAGCCTCTGTGTCTGAGCCATCCTCTTCACACTCCTGCTCTCCACTCTCAGGGAGAAGGCTGATGTCCTCATCTTTCACCGTTTCATTGACTGCATTCTGGAAGTACTGTAAAACTGGCTTGTTTTGCAATTCCAATTGCTGCCAAATCTGCTCATCATCAAAACTGTCTATCACAAGTTTCTGTAAAGGACTCCCGGAGATCTCACCGTTCTCTAGTACTTTGTTGAAGTCATAAAGAACTTTTGTTAAAGAAGTGAAGTTTGTTGCTAATCCATCTTGAATCCTATTGGGGAAAAGGATTAAGTTAGAAATTAACACATAATAATATGACAGCACTATGAATTAGAAGAAAAACAAAAACTCCAACTCTTATACAAAGTAAAATAGTGAAAAAATTAAATACTATTTTTTGTGGGTGCCGGTACTGGGGCTTGAGTTCTCACTTGGTTGTTTAGTTCAAAGCTGGCACTGCACTTGAGCCACACTTCCACTTCTGCCATTTTGCTGGTTAATGGCAGATAAGAGTCTCACAGCGGACTGTTCTGCCTGGGCTGACTTTGAATCGCAATCCTCAGATATAAGCCTCCAGAAGAGCTAGGATCACAAGCACGAGCCACCAGCGCCCAGGCAAAATATTGATTTTTAAGTATAAGTTATAGCTCCCAACATCATATTTTGCTGATGAGCCAGACTGATATAGGAAATGTCAACTAAATGTTTGAGTTAACTGTATAGATTTTAGACAGGAAAACAACGAGATATATCTGCATAAAGAATATTCATAAGGAAATGCAAAGACTTGGAAAAAAAATTATACTAAGTGAAATAAGCCAGACCCAGAGAAACAGAAAGTTACATGCTTTCCCTCATTTGTGGTAGATACAAAGTTCCCATAAACCTGTAAGTAAACAACTGGCGGGTATGAAAGTGGTTGCAAATGAGTTAACTGAAGTACAATATACTCTATGGGAAGCTCAGATAGTGTAATTCTTTAGAAAAACTCAAGGCCCAACAAAATAAGTACCACAAAATGGGTACTTGCAAGAGAGAAACAGGGCCAGGGGAATAGTAGATAAATATAGAATTCATTGTATGTACCACAAAATTAAGAAAAATATGCGAAAGGATGAGTCGAAGGGGGGTGAAGATGTTCAAGGGATGATACAGATTAAGATGCATGGTATACATATAAACTCCTTTGTTAAAATGACAAAAAAAATTCAATACATATCCTAAAAAAATTTAAGAACAGTGAAGGTAGGGATGGGAGGGGGGAAGGGTGGGTGAGAATATTGAAAGCAGTGACAGTGATCAAGATGTCCTGTATTCATAAACTGCTTACATGAATGGCAACTCCTTTGTGCAACTATGTAATGATAATGACCTATAGTAAATTAGACTTACATTCTCAACTCAGCTACATTATATACTACTCCATTCATTCAGCTAGTGGCCAACATCTGCTCTGGCTAGAAAAATGGGGGAAAGCATCTCTGGGGAATGTGATACCTGACAGATTAAAAAGGTTACTGTTACGAAGAGCTAGTAACATGTACTCTGGGTGGAATAACCAGCAAGAACAAATTCTCCAAGATAGAATCCAGCCTGAAAAGCTTGAACAAGAAAACTGCCTCAGCTTCACTGTGGTGAAGGAGGTTAGGAGAAACTTAACTAAGCAGGTTTTTGAGGTTAGAGTCTGCCACTTTAACTGTACCAAGAAAGAATGATGATTTTTAGGTCAAAAAATGAAATGAGCTGGGTTGACACTGGCTCATGCTGGTAATCCTAGCTACTCAGGAGGCTGAGATCTGAGGATTGAGGTTCAAAAGCCAGCCTAGGTAGCAAAGTCTGTGAGACTTTGAACTCCAATTAACAATCAAAAAGCCAGAAGTGAAGATGTGGCTCTTAATGGTAGAGCATCAGAGATGTGAGCAAAAAATGACAGTTTAAGCCCCAGTACTAGCACACACGTGTATGCCCACACGCGCGCGCGCGCACACGCGCACACACACACACACACACACACACACAGAAATGCAATGATGATGACATACTCTGGAAAGTCGACCAGCACAAAAAGAATGAAGGTAGGGTGATTGAGAGGTTGAAGTAGCAATCCAAGCAAAGGAGGACAGAGGTTTTTGTTGGGAGTCAGAGCAGTGCATATAGCGACAGAAGAATCGCAGAACCTACTTTATAAAGGTAATACTGACAGGAAGGACGAACGGGCTTGCCGAAGAATCAGAGGTAGAACAGAGAAAGCAGAAGGCACCACAGAAGCAGTCTAGACTCCGAGTAACTAGAGCGACAGAACTATCACTCTGTTTTCCATCAGATTTGGGTATGTAACGTCTGTCACACAGCATCGAACAGTTGGAACTCTAGGAAGATCTAGGAGATCTTATTTAAACTCCTTCAGCAAAAATTAAGTCCGAAACATTGCAATGGCAAAGAAGGGTGGAAAAATAGTCGGAATACTCAAGATGCTAGGTCATGCGCGCGAGAGTGGGGGAGTTGCACAGAAAGCAGCAAGTTAGTGCGTTCAAGAGATCGGGGGGCGGCGGGCAATTCGAGGGGGGCCTCTGGGCCTTCAGGCCTGAGCTTGGTTCGATGTCCACAGCACTAACTGGGAACCTAAGATCTTGACAGATCACGGAAGCAGAACTGACTGAGATTTGGAGGAACAGGATCTAAACCCCCCTTTCATTCCCCCCAGTCCGGGTTCGGCCCTAGGATTTGCAACCCATGCCCGGGAAATCCGAGGCCGCCCCCGGGCCCCGGATCCGCGCCACTTACGTGAGGAAGCTCTCGGGCCGGCTGGTGGCTTTCCCGGCCTCCCGCAGACACCGTTCCAGGGTCCGTCGGCGCCAGGCCGGGCGAGCCATGGCAGCCAAAGCCCTCCACGCACCGCGCCGCGTGCGACCGGAAGAGAACCCACGCGAAGCCGCGCGACGAAGACGCGCCCGGGGAAACCCGAGCTCAGAACCAAAGGTTCCGCCGCACACTGCTTCCGGACCCACAGCTAAGCCGGAGCCAATGGCAACGCGAGAATTTCCATTGGAGGCGGGGACAGGGGCGGAGCAGGAAACGGAAACAGTACTGGATCAACCCGAGCACGCTTGCGCTTCCTCTAAATAGTGTTTGGGGCTTCCTCCCCACCACGGGTGATGCGTAGTCGCTTTGTGCTTTAGGTACAGTAAGTGGTCTGGCGACATTATAACAGAAGAGCGGGCCGCTTCCTAAATCCTTCGGAACGTAACCACGCTCGCCTTGCCCTCCGCCTCATGCCCCGCCCCCAGCCTCGTGCCCCGCCCTTCTATAGGATGCCCCGCCCTCCGCACCCTGCCCCGCCCTTCTATCTCACGCCACGCCCCCAGGCTAATGCCACGCCCTCTCGATACAATGCCTCGCCCGCCCATCTCATCACGCACCACGCCCTCCACCTTGCGCCACGCCCCTCTGTCTTACGCCACGCCCACTCCTCTGGCCGCGTCCCGGAGCCGATTTCCTCGCCAGCTCCTCCGGCTCTCGCGCTTTAGCCGGTCTCTTCCCCAAGATGGCGCGCGTGTTGAAGGCCGCGGCGGCCGCGGCCAACACCGCAGCAGGTGAATACGGGGCGCCCTCAGATCCCCGTGGGGCTGGGCGTGTGGGGCGGCAGGCCGGGGCGGAGGAGGCCGCGGCGTGGTCGGGGCATGTGGATGTGACGCGTCCGGGACCCGGCGCTGCGGTTCCCCCCGGCCCTCGGCCCCGGACCCGAGCGCGGGATCTCTGCGAGTCTGCCCGGCACCCCGGGAAGTTTTCCAGGGCCTGTGGTCCTTCTTCCCGCGGGCCCGAGAGACGAGGGGAAGCTGTCCGGGGACGCACAGGTCGGGGACAGATGTGAGGACAGGTTCTTGCCTGTGATCCAGCTGCTCAGGAGGCTGAGATCGGAGGACTGCAGTTCAAAGCCAGCAACAAACAGCACAAACAAGGGGGAAACGTGGATCAAGTGGTAGAGCACCAGCTGTGATCGAAGAATCCAAGCAAGAGTGCTAAGCCCTGAGTTCAAGCCCCAGTACCAGCACAGACAGACAGACAGACAGACACACACACACACACACACACACACACATAATGAAGGAAAGAGAAGAGACTGTTACTGTCTTGTACACCTTAAGGAGAAAACAAAAGATTTGATGGGTTTAAACTTGCTTGGGAACACCTGACTGTTAGCCAAGTATAAGATACAAGGAAAGAGTATTTTACTCATATATCCCAATATATGTATCATTTTGTACATAAACAAGAAAAATAAAGGCAGAGGGATTGGATGTACCTTAAGTACTCTTCACCTCGATTTTTTTTTAATAGTTAGAATCAGCAGTTAATGTCAGTTGTTCAAGTTTTCTAACTCCTGCACTTTCTCCTTTCTGTTTTTTCTTTTTTTTTTTTTTTAAATCTGAGCTTTCCTGTTGGGAGAAAGTGCAAAGCCATAAAACCTCAGAGTTACTCCGGAACAGTAGTGACAAAGCCTTCAACTAGTGTGTTTTAAAAACGTTGGAGGGAATGAATAAAGCTTTGTTAATCCCAGACTTTTCTCCTAAAAGGAAAAAATAAAATAAAAGGGATTAGCATAGGTGGCTCACACATAGTCCCAGCGACTCCAAAGGCTGAGATTTGAGGATTTAAGCTTGAAACCAGGAAGAGCCGACAAATCTGAGACTCATCACCAATTAAATAATGAAAAGCTGGGGTGGAATTGTGGTAGAGCACCAGCCTAGAGCACTTACTAAGGCCCTCAGTTTAAACCCAAGTACTGGCACAATTTTATTATTATTTTTAAATGCTCTTATCCCACCTGTTTTATCAGTTCAAGTCATCTTTTGAGACCCATCTCAAATTGAGTTAGTTACTTGATTACTTTAGTATTTTCCAACAATCACAACTTTGCTGAATTATCTAAAAGTTTACAGGGGCTAAGTGATGAGCCACACAGAAAGCAAAGTCTCACCCTATTAGGTTTAGCTATCTCCATACTTAATTCAGGTTAAAGAGACAATACATAACATCCGCCTAGATAGAAACAAATATTGTAATGGTCTGAAGCACAGTTGACACAGAATTCCTGAATAACATTCAATATTCAAGTTTTGATAATACGCTTTAGCCTTTGGTAAAAATCTAAGTCAGGATCTTAGTTTACATACCTTTAGGGAGGGGGTGGAGGAAGTACTAGGGGTTGAACTCAGGGCCTGGACACTCTTAGTTTTTGTGTTTGAGGTTGGCACTGTACCATACCACTTGAGTCGCAGCTCAACTTTTGTTTTTTTTTTTTTTTTGTAATTAATTAGAATTGAGTGTCTCCTGGACTTTCCTGCTGGGAAATTGTGAGCCTCAGATCTCAGTCTCTTGAGTAGTTTAGAATTACAGGCCTGAGTCACTGGTACCTGGATTCACATACATTTTGGGGGAAGGAAACACACACACACACACACCTCATGAAGTAATCTCTTACCTCTCTTATCAAGTAGTATTGCTCAGAGGACATATACCAGTAATATTAAAAATAGGGAATTGAAAGAATTATAAAGGTTAAGAGTGTAGATGGGGGAAATAGAGCCTTTCTAGAATGTACAGGGTCTGTGTTCAACCTCCAGCCAAAACAAATAGTTCTAAAGGAGTGAGAGTTTAATGATTGACTAACTCAACTGTGGTATTGACACATCTCAGCGTTGCTACTTGGTATGGCATTAAGGAAATGACTTAAGATCTGTCATAGAATTATTGGGGGAAGTAAGTGAAATACAGTGCTCACTGAACTCCTAACTGCTACCTCAATTTTTTTATGGCCTTGAAGACTGGTAGGACTATATCATTACATGGAGCCTTCCTATGACAAAATACTTGGAGTTTGTGACTTCACAGTTAAACATGATTCCAGATTGAAGCAAAGTTACATAGTAGCATCAGCATGTAATTCTAACTGAAGTAAACCCATAGGCATTATGGGAAATGTGAGGTAAAATCAAAGTTTTTGGGTTTTTTTAACCCATGAGATTCTGCCCTCTACTGACTATAAATCCTAGCAGGTAACAAAGTTAATATTTTTACATAATATACCCCAGTACATTTGACGATAGACTCTTGCAGCTAGATGTTTACTTTTATGCTTGGAGAAATTGACCTGAAATGCCAAATCTGAACAGGAAGAAAGACAGTACTTTTAAGTCAATACAGTAAAAGTGATTAGTAAGAACATGACTCATGAGACCCAATACTAAGGGAGAGGTAAGAATTAAGAGTGAATACACACTTTCGCATAACAGATAAGCTACAAAATGTTTGAAATGTTGGCTTCATGTTATGTCACAATGCGTTCATATATAAAATTGTCCATTGTGTGTTCAATATTTTTGTCATTACTCAAAATGTTTTTCATATAATATATAAAAATATAGCACATAATATAAATATAAACATATTATATAAATATACATTTAGATATGTGTGTATAATTTAAAACACTGTTCTTTACCCAGTTTTTGCTTGATCTGTAGGATTCCATCCACAGATCTTTCAATGCCTAGTGTCTCTTTTTCCTACTCCTTTAAAGTTTAAGTAGCATAAAATTAGCCATTAAAATGTATAAGTGAACTAGCATTTATTACATTTGCCATGTTGTGGAGCTATCACCTCTATCTTGTCCCGAGACGTTTTACATAACCCCAAAAGGAAACCCATTTGTATTAAGCAATCACTCTGCATCCCTCCCCTCCCCTCCCCTCAGCAGCCAATATTCTGCTTCTGCCTGTGTGTTTCCTATACCTGATATTTGATACTAATGAGATCACATGCTATAGGATCATTTGTGTCTGGCTTCTGTCACTTATCATAATGTTGTAGCACTTCTTAATAATAGTCCATTGTAAAGGTATGTGTAATGTTTCATTTTTTTGGCTGTTGGGGAATACTGTTGCTATACATATTAGTTTATGAGATTCTAGTTGCGGTTGCTGGGGTACTTGTTGGGTCATATAATGTTCTAATTTTTTTTTTTTGAGAAACTGCCACACCCTCTCTCTGACATACACCATTGTACATTTTCACCAGCAAGATGCCAGGGTTCCAACGCTTGCTATTTGGGGGTTTTCTTCTTGAGTGTAAAATGGTATCTCTGTGGTTTGGATTGCTAATGTTATTGAGTATCTGGTGTGGTTGTTGGCTAGTTTTATTATCCCTTTGTTTTAAAGGAACTGAATTGGTGAAATTTTAATGGTGTCATTGTATTTTTCTGTCCTGTTCCTTGAACTTACAGTGTAGAGACCAAATGAAACCAATAAAAGCCATTACCCTTCCCCAAACAGTTACACCTCTAGAGATAACATAACCCTCAAAAACCATAAATCTTACAGTATATGAAGAGGCTGCTGTTTCTGTCTTGATTGCATGTGAAGGAGATCTTTTTAGATTAAAGAAAAAGAACTTGTTCTAATAAGCCAGATGTTAAGAAAGAAAAAGTGCAGTGAGTTGCTTGAGCTTCCTGTTCAGGGCAGTTTTTGAAATGTCCCTAAAGCAATCTGGTGCCAGGTTTATACTTTGTTTTTACTTGGGCATCCTGCAGTCCGTCCCTTTGGACTAGGATGTCTGCTTGTTGTCCTTAGTAAGACATTTATGGAGTCTTCTGGTTGACTCATCTTACGTAGGCTAAACTCATGCTAAGAGAAAATACTGAGTATTTGGCAGAGCCTTAAAATCTTACAGGCTCAATAGCTTTTTTTTTTTTTTTTTTTTTAATGCCTGAACAGGGGCTTGAATGCAGGGCCTCAACATTTTTACTCATGACTGGTGCTGTACCACTTGAGTTATGGCTTCCACTTTCAGCTTTTTCCTAGTTAATTGGAGAAAAGACTCCGATAATGACAGCATTGCATG